TATATATAATATATATATAAATATATATATATATATATATATGAAAAAAAACAACAACAAAATATACATGTTGTTTTTTAATTAAATTCAGCATTCTTTAATAAATAGTCTGGAAAAAAAAAGCATTTGTCATTGAGATATGGACATTATGGACAAAAGCCAATCAGACGTATGTCACGTACACATGATGAATGCCTAATGTACATATGAAGTATGGTTAATGTACATATGATGTCAATGTTACGCAAAATGAGATCATGTGAATATGCGCGCAAAAAAAAATAATAATAAATAACAAATACATCATGAGATGAGTACGTTGATGGGATGATTGTCGAGCAGCTGAAGAAACAGGGCAATGTTATAAAACATGAAAATGTAATGAAACATGACGATGTAATGAAAAATGACAATGTAATGAAACATGATAATGTAATGCAAAATGACAATGTAATGAAACATGATAATGTAATGAAAAATGAAAATGTAATGAAACATAATATGTAATGAAACATGACAATGTAATGAAACATGATAATGTAATAAAACATAAAAATGTAATAAAACATGACAATATAATGAAACATGACAATGCAATGAAACATGATAATGCAATGAAACATGATAATGTAATGAAACATGATAATGTTTGCATATTATTGTCAGATGTGCCATTTATAACGTGGAGTCCATTTGGATAAACACAAATGAAACTCAGATGACGTCATCAATGATGCCAGCGATGATATGCCAGTGGCGATAATATGCCAGCGATGATATGCCAGCGATGATATGCTAGCGATGATATGCCAGCGATGATATACCATCTACATTCAGAAAGCTACTCTATCGTTAACAATGAAACGCGACAGCCAATGGCTTGTTAGCAGTTAGTGTTCATTCCCCCCACCCCCACCGTAAAAGTACACACTTGCATCCGTACAATTCTATCTGCGTCGAACGAACTTCCGCACCTCAAAGCCTTCACCGCTGTCATTAGATAGATACTAAAATCACCAAAAGTTGGCTTAAACCAGATACTGTGTTACGCTTCTAATCCGCCAGATCATTCCTGTTAACGTTATGTGACTGTTCTTACACAGCGCTCTCAGTTCTCTGAGATTTTTCTTTCTTGATTTTTATCCACATAGAAATTCTTTTCAGCTATAGATCCAAAAAAATTGCTTTCCCCTTTTACTTTCTGTCCATTGTTAATTGTGGCGTAACTTTTTCAGAATTCCGTTACGTTTTCCTTAAAAAAAATATGATGGAAGTATTTGAGATCTATTTAAAAAATACATTTTTTTGTAAAGTCACTGCACTTGACAATGTCATCTAAGATTTTTATCAGTTCATTATTCACATTGATTTGGAACCCTTGGGCGTGCAGTCAGTTCCACGCTTGGGAGACCTCCTCTCTGTTACTGATAATTGTTATTTGTGATTTGAAGGTCTGTAGAGGTGGAAGGATCGAAGATGTTTTCTATATTTATGAGATCAGCACAGTCATGAGTTTGTGGCGATTGTATTTAGTCAGCTTGATGCTTCAGCAAAGCGAAATTCAGAGCAGATGAAACTGAAAATTGTAATAAGGTTCTCTGTATTCACATGCCATTTAACACATCACAGAAGCGCGATCCTAGTCACGCATCAGCCAGTATGGCTATTAAGTTAGGGCCGTCTTAGTCACACATAAGCCAGTCTGGCTATTAAGTTAGTGCCGTCTTAGTCACACATAAGCCAGTCTGGCTATTAAGTTAGGGCCGTCCTAGTCACACATAAGCCAGTCTGGCTATTAAGTTAGGGCCGTCTTAGTCACACATCAGCCAGTCTGGCTATTAAGTTAGTGCCGTCTTAATCACACATAAGCCAGTCTGGCTATTAAGTTAGGGCCGTCCTAGTCACACATAAGCCAGTCTGGCTATTAAGTTAGGGCCGTCTTAGTCACACATAAGCCAGTCTGGCTATTAAGTTAGGGCTCTCTTAGTCACACATAAGCCAGTCTGGCTAGTACGTTAGTGTGTTGCAGGAATGGACATGCTGTTTCTATTTTATTTTATTTTTTGGAATATTGACGATTGACCTATGCAATGTTCTCAAAAATCAGTTCGCCCACAATTCACCATAAATCTGTCCTGTATATCATGGTCACGCCCATAATTGACCACACATTTGTCCTGATTATCATGGTCACTACGAGTGTCCGGCACATCATGTCATGGTGGATACAACGTTCTCCGGATATCCGTAGTAGATAAGCGTGTAATGATAGTGCTTAGGATAGATGAAGTCATAAGGATGGCCTAGCTCCCCTGTGTAAGATAAACAGATACACATGAAGATACCAGCAAACATTTTAGACCACAACATTTGCTTTAAGCACATGACAACTTTAAAGGTAAAAAAAAACGACTGAATTGCGTTACAAACACACACCAGGTTTATGTTATGGCAAGCGCATGAAAAGTCTGAAAACATGGGTGATGTTGAACATTTATAGGAATTTGAAATTATTGTATTTAAAACAATCTCTCTCTCTATATATATATATATACATAAAATCATTATTTAGGTCTGAGTGGTAGGAAGTGGTGAGCTAGGCCAAAGCCCTACATGGGCTGTAGCACCAATGGGATGTTTGTATATATATATATATATGTGTGTATTTTATTTATATACATTGAGATCTATATGTGCATATTTCATTAGTGTTTTCAAATTTGTTTAAACATTAGGAATATAAATAAAAAATGTTCAATAAATTGTTCTGTTCAATGACGACTAGAAACTTCGATGACCGTTGTGCTTAATTAGGACATGTGCTTGCATTTTATTTTAACAATTATTGACCACGTCAAATACAAATGTTTTTTTCTTATTTTCATTTAAAAAATACATCAACAATAACAACCAATGAGACCAAACAATAGTTATCTTCAGCTAACTTGTCACAACTTATCACAACTTATCACAACTTATCACAAATACGAGATCAAAATAAACTATCAACTATTTGAGACTAAAAACCACAAAGAATATCACATATTTGAAATTAAAATAACACAATTCTTCCATCCGCCTAGTTCTATTCGAGGCTGATCGGCCTGTCTGTTTGATCAGCCTGTCTATTTGATCAGCCTGTCTGTTTGATCAGCCTGTCTATTTGATCAGCCTGTCTATTTGATCAGCCTGTCTATTTGATCAGCCTGTCTATTTGATCAGCCTGTCTGTTTGATCAGCCTGTCTATTTGATCGGCCTGTCTGTTTGATCAGCCTGTCTATTTGATCAGCCTGTCTATTTGATCGGCCTGTCTATTTGATCAGCCTGTCTATTTGATCGGCCTGTCTGTTTGATCGGCCTGTCTGTTTGATCAGCCTGTCTATTTGATCAGCCTGTCTATTTGATCAGCCTGTCTATTTGATCAGCCGGTCTATTTGATCGGCCGCTCTGTTTGATCAGCCTGTCTATTTGATCAGCCTGTCTATTTGATCAGCCTGTCTATTTGATCAGCCTGTCTATTTGATCGGCCTGTCTGTTTGATCGGCCTGTCTGTTTGATCAGCCTGTCTATTTGATCAGCCTGTCTATTTGATCAGCCTGTCTATTTTGTTGAAAGCACCCAACAACCGAACGCCATATTGTCTTAAACCATTTTCTTGATCCCGAATAATCACCCACCAAAAAATACTACCACCAAAAAAAAACCAACAACCACATCATCCTAATCATATGTCCATTGTCTATTTTGCGCGCTTCTGATAGATTTGGTGAAGGCACAGTTCGAATCAACAACACTTTGTATTTTGAGATCTACGAACGTCATCCCTTGACCTTTGGGGCTCCATGTGCTACTGATCTTGTTGGGGCTAATGTAGAGTGCAGAGCTGCAACACGCAGTGGGTTGGCGATGGCTATGCCCGCCGCACCTCTGATAGCTGTGCCCGCCGTACCTCTGATAGCTGTGCCCGCCGTATCTCCGATAGCTGTGCCCGCCGTACCTCTGATAGCTATGCCCGACGTACCTTTGATTCTCCCAAAAAGGCTTTTACTCCGCAAGCCGGATTGAACCTGTGAGATCTCATTGCTTTTCCAAAAAGCCACAACAAAATGACATCGTGGAATGCACACTATTTTTTTTCTTCCCGACATGTCTTAGCCACGATACCATTCTGGGCTTGGGGGCTACACGACAGAAAGCAGGTTCTCTTTTAGGTACTCACTCTGTCTGACAACAGGACTGCTGGGATCGATCGCGTTCCTATTTCTCCTGACGTGCACGTAGCAGAGCAAGATGATCACAAGTGTCACGACGACGATAGCCGCAAGGGTCGCAATGAAGGCAAACACGACCACATCCATCCTGTCGAAGAAGAAACAAATTTGAAACAAATATTTTAATTCCCTTGCAATATATTTTCTAAAAAAATAATCTCACGTCACGAATTTTTAAATCTATAAATTTATACACATAACGGAGAGACATTGAAATACATATGAAATTGATTTTCTTTCTCTTTTTGTTTTTGTTTTGTTCAATACAAATTTATAGTTTAAATACATTTTTTAATATTATTCCTCAAAAGATCTTAAATTAAAAATAAAAACAATGAACTATGATGACCTATTTATTTATAATATGATTACTATAATGACATTGTCCTTACGGGAATAAACAGCAGACGTTTTCCTTCTGGTCCCAACAACAGCCCCAGGGGCATTCTTTGAAAACGATTTCAGTCGGCAAATATTCGTCGTGGAGTCTGTGGCGCGTCTTTGAGCCGCTTGAGAACACCCGATATCCACATCTCTCGCTGGTACTCACTGGGGAGATTGTTTAAAAAAAAATTAGATAAAATCCGAGCCTTGTGAGGGAAAAAATGACCAACGGCCTTAAGAGGCCGAACTTTTCTCAGCACGCCATCACATCCATGACCACAGACTCAAATACAAGACATTCTCTCAAAACAGACTCAGACTCTTTCACTTAAGCACACACATACACACAGCTTAGGCCGGTTGGAAGGTGGGGGGTGGGGGTGGTGGGATAGTGTCACAATTTACCTGGCCATTGGATGAAATATTTCAATGAATTTACTTCTATCATTTACTCGGTGTTGAAAAAAACCACACAAAAAACAACTCGTCCCTTTTTAATATTTTGATTTAGTTTAGATCCACTGTTCCCCTCTAAGGTTTGTTGGTTCGCGTGCAAAATCATAATTTTTTTTTTTGGTGCAAATTTTTACAGCATCAATTTTTTTGTGCGCAAATTTTACAGCCTACAGACACAAACACACCCTTAAGTGGAAATTAGCTGCGCGGTACTCAAAACTGCTGCGCGGCGTCTGTGAGATTACTGCGCGGCCGCGCAGCTTAAAGGAAACATTGTTTTGACCGTATTTCAAGAAGTTGCTATTACATCTTTATCTTCGCATGCGTACGTTACGGTTCCCCTTAAAACAATCAGTGCATGAATTATACACTGAATGTCTTAACAAATGGTTATGTCATGTATTTCTTTAACCCCATGAATTTACACATTTTTTAAAAATATACTGTAACAATTTTGTAAGGACTGGAGATTAAACATAAACTTTTCAACCCAGCTTAAATAAAACAATTGGTAACATGTAATTAAATTAACTTAATGAATGAATGGACACCATTACAATAATGAGTAGAGCATAGTCACAATGGCTTACATTGGATCAAAACCAGGAGAGTCACGACCCGGGCCAGTGTGTAGGTTGACGCGCGTAAGGTCTGCATGGTGTCGGACACACTTCAGCTTGCTACGTCTCCGATGTTTTGAGATGTAGAACTTTTTCTAGCTTTCTATCCGGCAGAAGTTTGATGTTTTTGTTTCTTTTGTTTCTTTTGTTTTGTTTTTTTTCACCTGGGTTTCAAGATATACCAGCACACGGTCCTGAATGAATAGCTCATAGAATAACAAAAACAGCAGCAGTCCACTTTCTTCGACGTCGTCTTTGTTTGGTGAAACCCTTACGTTAGTTCCTTTTTTTTTGTTGCTTTTTATTCCTCTTCTCTTTTCTAACAAAAAAAAGAGAGAACACTCTCCGTATAGTTATGTCAGGAAAATAGATCACTATTCCCAAGTCGCAGTCACACAATTGGGTGGGACGCGAGAGATTTCTATGTCCCAGATGTTTACTCAATAAATTCTGTATTCCTTGGAGTTTGAACGTCGTTACCAATGAAGAAAAAAAATGATATGGTGATGGAACGTCTTGTGAATGACACAGTTACGCTTCTCACAACGTTAAAGCCACCTTCTCTTAGTCGTGTCTCCCAAAGCCAATGCTGCTCTCCCACCTGCGGCGTCCAGGTAGTACCTGGGCTATTATATGCAAATTTGTGACAGAGTCGAGGGTTCTCAATGTTCGCATTACAACAACACCCCTTTTAAAATATTATTAATTTTTAACAAAATTTTATTTGATAGAAGCTGGAGTTAATACGGGTTTGCCATGAAGGATCTACTATAAGTCCCAGGAGGATGTTTTACGACACCGTGGATGGAATAGCTCACGACCCATTATGAAATTGTGATGAAATCTATTAAGAAACCTAATTACATCAATTAACATTTATGAAAATTATTAGCATAAAATTCTTTAAAAATATTTCATCTTCCCCTTTGAACTAAAACATATGGGGCACTTTGCTGGATGCAATCAGAAATAAAGCGCTCCTGGGGGCGGTTTTTTAAAGCCATTTATTATAATTATTTATCAGTGACGAGCTCTGAGAACGGACATTTATGAATAGTTATGAAAATGGCGCAAGGTAATATAATATTTGTCTTTTTTTTAGTCATCATATAAGATAAGATAAGGTTATTTTATTGATCCAAACAAATGGAAACGTTTTTTTATCAAGCTATAGTTACCATGGGACACAATTAGCGTTCCCATTGTCTTTTGTTCATAGTTAACTCCCGTCTCCCGAGGGAGTCGTTGTATGTTTGTCGGACAGATTTTTAACTGCTAACACCAAATTTGATGGTTTAATAACGCATTTACAGTCAAGATTCCAGTAAACGGTCAAATATATCATTTACACTCAAACGCTCATTTTATCCATAGTCATATTTCCATAGTATATCGTCAAAACCGTCATTTGTTAAGCTTCACCATTACAGGAAATGACCAAATATTCCTGATCAAGGCATGGTTACCTCCTGGAATTCAAAATAATAATATAATAATGATAAAGTTTATTTGAAAGACACGCTTCATCCCCAAAGTTCGAAGCGCGGTACAAAGTCAACCATATTAAAAAGAGAAATAAAAACAATCTAAAATTTATCACATTTAAAAAACAGACGCAACAATATAAAACTACATACGAGCATACCAAGTCAAAATCTTTCATCCCGTTTCAACCATAAGCAACACAAGCCAATATACATTAACTGAAAAAGATGGTAGAAAGCATCACCCCAGCAGGTGTTTGCGAAATAGATGTGTTTTTAAATCGGTTTCAAAGGACTCCAGTGTCTGGTTGTTTCTGAGAGCGACTGGAAGGGCGTTCCAAATTGTTGGGCCGGAAAATGCAAAAGTGGGCTTTCCGTAAGTCTCAAGGCGAACACACGGTATCGATATTTTGCCACTATCGGATGAGCGGAACTCTCTATTGGGTACATAAGGCGTTATGAGTGCTTTGAGATAAGATGGCGCAGGGTCATGTAAGGTCACATTCTCCTCGTAAATTTTAAAATATTCTAATATTTAAATATCAAATTGTCCCCAGTCAGATTGACTGTCGTTAAGTAAATAAGCAATAATCAATTTTTTCCCATTTCTGGACAGCGATTCCCCAGTTCAGCTGTCAAACTACCCTCGTACAGTCCATGGTCAAGTATGGTCAGTTAATGGTCAGCTGTTGGGATGACCCTTAATTTTTCACTATTCATCACCAAGACCAGTTAACTCAGCCCCTCCCCACACACACACACACACACACACACACACACACACACACACACACACACACAAACACACACACTAACACACTCACACACATTAACATGACGTAACTCAATAATGTATTGCGATATGTTTGGTTTTTTTTATAGGGAGGGTGAGAGGACAAGGGTAGGAACCTGCTGTCAGCTTCGTGCAATATAAATTAAATTTAATTTGATTAAGATTTCATTGTGGTTTTTTTTTTTTTTTTGGTGCTTTTTTTTCATTCGTTTTCAAATACATATGTCTTTAGTTTGTTTATAAAATCCGCATTATAATTAATAATAATAATAATAATAATAAGGTTCATTTCAAAAACACGCTTCATCCCCAAAGGCTCGAAGCGCGGTACAAAGTCAACAAAAAACAAATCTATAATTTACCACATTTATTAAAACAATTAGTAAATAACCCCCTATCAAAAGCAGTTTCAAATATATATATATAAATATTTTTATTTTAAAAAGTACTTCACTGACCACTCACACGCTATGCGTAAATAAGATCTTCACGATATACCGGTCATTTTTTTAAAATCAGTGTTGTATGTATTTGTTGTATGAGATAGATCCAACAACCAGATTACCTGGTTTTTTTTAAGCAGTGTTGTCTATATGAGTTGTATGAGACAGGTCCAACAGCCGAGAACACGAGAATACCTGGTCTTTAAAGCCGTCTTGTATATATTTGTTGTATGAGATAGGTCCAACATGAGAATACCTGGTCTTTAAAGCCGTCTTGTATATATTTGTTGTATGAGATAGGTCCAACATGAGAATACCTGGTCTTTAAAGCCGTCTTGTATATATTTGTTGTATGAGATAGGTCCAACATGAGAATACCTGGTCTTTAAAGCCGTCTTGTATATATTTATTGTATGAGATAGGTCCAACATGAGAATACCTGGTCTTTAAAGCCGTCTTGTATATATTTGTTGTATGAGATAGGTCCAACATGAGAATACCTGGTCTTTAAGGCCGTCTTGTATATATTTATTGTATGAGATAGACCCAACAACCAGATTACCTGGTCTAGACACGGCTGTTGAGGAAACGATGTTTCAGTGTGTATGTGTGTGTGTAAAAAAAAAAGTGGGGTGGGGGGTTGGGGGAGAGGGGGGGTGGGTCAGTGTTAGAGGAGATAAACTCGTGGAGTCAACTGGTGTGACAGATGTAACAAATGGCTGACTTCCCTTGTTGAGTTATAAAACGAAAGTCTAAACAGCTACGTGTTGAAGTCTCAGCTTTTTTCTTTCTTTCTTTTTCTTTCTTGCTTTCCCTTCCTTTTTAAAAACTTTAAATGGACCATTAAATATATATATTATATGACAGGGTTGGTGCTGGGGGTTGGGGGGTTGGGGGTAGGTGGTGATGACATGGGTCAAGGCTAGGGCAACTTGTCACACACACGTAGAGTGGTGCGTGGGTTTTTTTTTTTTTAAGTCCCACTCACACCCACCCTCATACAAACAAACACACTCACACACATACACACTGACAACGTGTGATGACATGGGTCAAGGCTAGGGCAACTTGTCACACACACGTAGAGTGGTGCGTGGGTTTTTTTTTTTTAAGTCCCACTCACACCCACCCTCATACAAACAAACACACTCACACACATACACACTGACAACGACACACAAACAATGGTTCGCAAATTATTGTGAGGGGAGAGGGTTGTAGGGGGGGGGAAAGCCTTTCTTAAAAAAGAAATATTATTTATTTTTTTAAAATTTAAAACAAATTTCTTCTAGGAACCTGGTGACAGCATCCATAATGAACGCCAATGCTCATAATTGCATAGCTCAATCAGCAAAAATGGTGTGTGCCAGAGTCGGCTCCACGAGCCATCGGCGCACCCACAGCCAAGTTCACAATTAGCAAATTAAATACGATGATTTAGATGGTCTTCTTTGTCGCTTCCGACTGACAAACTTGGTACACAGCTCGATGTCAATAAATTCAAATAGGTGTTTATTATATTTTCTATGAGTTCTTGATTTTTATTTTAATAATGCTTTTCCTCACCCTCCCTCCCCCCTCCCCCCAACCCCTACACACAAATACATTAAAAAAGTGTTTTAAACAAATTATTTTTGTAAAAAAAATAAACTCCAAGTAAAATAAATAAATGTCATTCTGATGGAAAGGGGCTGTTGCTAGAGCCCTAATAATCCCCAACAACACTCAAACTCTACTCGTTCACGAAAGCAGTTTAAACAGTGATTCTCCTGTATTGTATAAGTGTACTTTTATGGAATTTTTAATCAAAATTTAGGGGACCACTGCACACACACACACACACACACACACACACACACACACACAATAATAAAGAAAAAAAAAAGCCTCCCAGAGTAGCGCACAGGAAGTAGGGGAAACAATTCATGACATGAAGAGAATAAATGAATTCATCTCAAGGGGCCTCCGCGAAAAGAAAAGGGGGTGGGGGGGTCGGGAGTGAGGGGTTAATGTTTAATGAAACATCTCCACAATGAAGTCGCTCTTGACATTGCAATAACTTTTACACCTTGAGACTTGCTTAGTTTGGTTTTTTGTTTTGTTGTTGTTTATATTCATTGTTAACTTCAACCACGTCAAGGACTTCTTTTCTCTGTGACCCTCGTTCCTCTCTTAAGCAGGCACCGGTGATTTGAAACAAACTTTCCCCCCTCGCCCGTCCAGGGAAAAAAAAAAAATGGGGAGTACATTTGTGGTGGGTGGGGGAAGACGAGTGATGCTCACTGATATTAAATCATATTCATATTTCGGAGCTGAGTTTTTTTGCTTTTAATTTTATGGCGTTAAAACCCGTCTTATTTACAAATCATGAAAACTTCACTTACAAGAATTTCACGAAAATGTGCTTACGAAATCTGTATTTTACTGGGTAATATATATATATATTGTTGTAGCTCGTCCGTTGAAGATCGACTAGGACCATCGAGTCGTCCGGTGTTGGATGTCTGATGACTTGCGCGAGTGACTTTTCTTTAAATTAAAGTGAGGAAGAGTCGCGCGGCGCCAACCTTACTCTCGCCAACCTTACTCTCGCCAACCTCACTCTCGCCAACCTTACTCTCTCGTCCGGGAAAGCAGGGATTATTTCAGAAATATTCCCCCGACGGGGGGCACTTCAGAGTTTTCGGGGGTGAGGGGTAGGGCCAGCAGTGCCAGTTGATTTATTGCTTGACATATTTTTACTTGGGGGGGGGGCACTTGGCTGTCCAGACATATGCTCAATGAAGTTTGTCCAGACACATGCTCAATGAAGTCTGTCCAGACATATGCTTAATGAAGTCTGTCTAGACATATGCTCAATGAAGTCTGTCCAGACATATGATC